TACAGCCTGAAGACTCACTGGGTCCTGCGCGTTGACCTGTCCAATTCAGTGTTTAGTTCCTGAGTGGTCAACAAGTCTGACCTGAAGGGTTTCTATGTGTCCAGCCTGAGGCTTAGGGATGGGGAATGGGGAAAAGAAGGAGGCTGAATGGGCTCAGACGCTCTCACTGGGCAGACAGGAGTGACCCGACTGAACACAGAAAACAGCCTATAATCAGGTGTTAGGTGGCATGTTTGAGAGAGAGCTCAGCCTGGGCTGAAAAGACCAGCATATCCGACTCCAGGCAATAAAGAGCTCTGCTCTTGGGGATTCTAACTTATTTACCTTCAAGGTTGAGAAGACCTAGTGGGTCGTTTTCTCTAATTAACAGCTACCAAGAACAAAACTGGTCCATCAGGCCTGCCCCTTGGAATACTGATATTTACTGTTCAACCTCATATGTGGGTTATGAGGTTGAGCAGTAAATGCAGTCTTCTCTGCATCACCAGATTGTAACAATAATACTTTGTAGTTATGTGAGACCTTTACTTCCCAGTACTTTTGGCTCTGCTGTCTCCTTTATCTTTACACAGTCACACCCACTCAGGGGCAGGAATCATCACACCCCTTTTACAGAGAGCTCAGAGGTTTTATCAGTAGCCTGAACCCACAGTGCAAATTAGGGAAAAGAGACCTGGTGCTAGAACTCAGGTCTGCCTGGTCTTTGCCCTGTCGATCAATTCAGTCATTTGGGGGCTGTGTTGAACCCTCCTACCCTGTCATACCAGAGTATCCCCATCCCTGTGGGCTGAGAAATGCTGTCTGCTGTTGCTCATGCAGAGTCAAGGATGAATCTGAATTTGGCTCTGGTGGCATTGCAGAGCTGTGGCTCAGGGCCACATAGAGCAGCTGTGAATGGTTTGCTGGCCGGGAGAGGGTTTCATCTCCCAGTGGGGCAGAAACTGGAGTAATTGAGGACCATGTAGAGAAGCTGCTAGAAGCTGCCCACCAAGTCAGAGAGCCCACCTGCCTGGTAGGAGGGATTATTTTAATTCCCTTCTTTAATAAAACATAGCTAGTGGGAGACTTGCTAAAATCTGCATTGAATGTGATTCTTCGCACGCCAAGGGGAGCTGCCAGAACAGAACACATGCTCCCGTGGAGCCAGCCCTCTGGGGTCTGGGCGTGAGCAGCAGGGCCTCTCCCACCACTGTGGCCCAGCTGGCCTTAGTGTTCCTTGTGTCAGGTCAGAGTTTCACATGGCTGTCTGGTGCAGCTACTCTGGGAGGTTATATTTTGGAAAGAAAGCCTTCAAGCCTCACTTTAAGAGATGAAAAGAAGCCAAATTGAGGGGTTTAGAAAGAAGATAGAGGTGGGTAAAGAAGCAGAACTTGAGCCTTGAATGTAACTCTGCTTTTGAAATAAAAAAGAAGAATATGGCAAGAAAAACCCCGAGGAATGATTGCTCCCCAAGGGGGGAGCCGGGTCCAATGCCAGAAACGTCCGTATGTGAACCTTTTGGCTCTACACTTCCACTGAGAGTTTGGGAACTCTATCGCTTGCTTTTTAGTGTCTCACTAGGGGCCATCATTCACTTTTCCCCAAAGGATGATTTTTAAAGTAATAAAATCTGGTTCTTGCAAAGCTTCCCCCAAGGAGCTTGTTTATGGGCACAGCCATGTTTAAGAACTGCCTTGGAGGTAGAGCCGGGGGAGCTGAGTCAGAACTAAAGTTAAAGATCAACCGCTACCTGGGGCCTTTGCTTTTATGGGGTAGGGAGGTGGGACATGAGCTTTCTGAATTCTGAGATTTGTTTTTGGTCTGATCAGCTTTAGGGAAGCTGAGGACAGGCCAAACTGTCCTACTTGTAAGAGTTTAGTAGCCTTCCCCTCTGCTCTGTGGGCTCCTACCTGGTGTTCCAGACTAGAAACCCATTGGTCTCCATTCAGGCTGCCTTGCTGGTGTTTTTGTTTTGCTTTAATGGATCCTGGGCTGGGTATTGATTTTTTTCCTAATGAGTGAGTTAAAACAAGTAGACAATAAAAATTAAAACAATCTGGATGGGGTATAGTAATATAGGTAGGCTTCCAGTCTTGTTTCTCTGAAGCTGATATGTCTACTATGGCCCATTCAGAGGACAGACCTGGGGGTCTGCAAAATCTGGGCCCTAGATGTTGATATAACACAGAACTCCCTCCAGTACCCATAGCACCCCCTGCCTGCCTGTTTTCTAGGATGCAGACTTTTAAAATGACGTTTAGATACGGTACATGCTAATTAACACGCTAAATTTAGATATGGTACATGCTAACTAACATGTGGGCTTCCTTTTGCCGCTGGTTCACTGTTCTCATTCAGCTGTCTGCGCAGTTTGATCATGTATGTAGCTCAGTGAACAGTTTAATCACACTACCTGCAAAATTCTGGGAATCTTGAGTTGAATGAGACCTCTTCAGTTGGTTCTGACTTTAGCACAATGATTCAAAACCAAGGGGGGCCGATTTTACCCCCAGGGGCCATGTGGCAAATGTCTAGGGACATTTTCGGTTGTCACCATTTGGGAGGGCACCTAGTGGGTAGAGGCAGTGATGATGCTAAGCGTCCCACAGTGTACGAAACAGCCCCCACAACAAATGATTACCTGACTCCAAGTGTCAATTGTGCTGAGGCTGAGAACCCTGCTCTAGTGGAAGAGGCACACATTAAATGGATGGCTACATTGTGGTGGGATATGTGCAAAAATATATGTGAGTACAAGGTATTGAAGCAAGTACGTGTGCGTGGGGGGTGGGGTGGGGTGGGAGGTGACATTGGGGGAATGCTTCATGGGGAAATGACTCCAAATCATGATGTTTACTTAATGTCTTTTAATTAACTGTCCAAGAATGACTTTGAAAGTTATTAGTCAAGAACTACATACTGGAATTTTTTCTTTATGCACAACTCTCTGGGTAATTTAATCAAATGTTTTTGGTGACTTCATATCTTCTCTTAAAAAAAAATTCCCCCAAAGAGCCTGGGAGAAGCATAATAAGAGAAAAATCCATTCAACCTTATCTGTGCTTCTCTAGTCTTCTATAACCTGTGGTTCTTACACCTGGACTTTCTTTCCTTTCCCCCTTCAAGGTAGCCTATGACCCTTGGCTCATGAAGCCCTTGGGGATTTCAGTCCACAGTGATTGGTCTATTCTCTGATTTCCTTAGGGCCTTGTTGCCTCTTTCCCCATGTACATCAGTCTCTTGGGTGTGTTTCCACATAGACTGTGGGCTCCTCAAGGACAGGGCCCACACCCTCCTCCTGTACATCCCTCTACAACACTGAATACTGTTTTGGACCCTAATTTCACTGCAGGAGGAAGGAGATGGACATTCAGGAAAAATGTCGGGGTGCTAACATCCTCCTGGGACACTGGGCTCATGGATACAGCACATTTTATTTCCAAGTCTCTGGATTGAGTCTTATAATAAAGTCTAAAAGTTTAATCTCTGTTTAGTAGGAACAACATGCAAAAAATAAATTCCCATAATTATTATTAGCATTTTCTTACAAACAGATTTTTCAGAAGCTGTTTCTATATCAAGCAGATCAACCTTTCTGTTGTCATAGAGACAAAGATTTTTATATAACCATAGGCAAGGTGAGATTTTTCTTTTTCCCTTCCAGTTGTCTGGAACTAATAAGGAAAGGAAAAAAAATTTTTTTAAATCATTTTTTTCTATTATTTTTTAAATTCCCCATTAAAACAAGTGAAAACGTGGGAGGCTATTTTTTTTGTATCATATTTTAGATTTTAAATACCTAAGTTTAAAAAAAAATATGGAACGGATGGGGAGATATAAACAATTGAACAATGCCATTTTCAAAATTCGCAGGCAGTGGTCTTGTCGATGATAAGCAATTACAATCCACAGGTTTTCCCCCACCTTTAAACCAAATAGTGAACTTTAGCTGGAGGTCTTAAAAGACCGGACTACCAAGGCCTGAAATGATTGAAACATGAACTAGCACCTGCAGAGGGGCTCCTCTGAATCCTGAGGTGCTCTGTGGTGCCCCCCTTCTCCAACCCCAGCACCGAGTGCTCCCCTTCTCCCGCTGAGTCAGGTCATGCGGATAACTCAGTGCAAGGCCACATCCCTCTTCTTCTGGGAGCCTGATCTTACAGTTTCAGCTCTCTTCTTTCTACAAACTCCTGGCAACTTGTGATTCATAACATTTGTCTATCTTGTAGTTACCACCTACCATTTCGTTCCTTCGTCATGAAGAAAGGCGGATTTCAGCATAACCCATGCACTTTCCCTGCCCTTTGCCTCGATGTGGAATTACACCTGTACCCGACCGCCTTCTTGCCCCCACTGGGAAGTCTCTCTATTCTTCGTAAGACTGGCCCTTCCCCTGTGACCTATGACTAATGCTCTCCTCCCACCTGCACCGAGACCCCACTCCGCCAAGTATTATTCCTCCCCTTCCCTTGTATGGTCAGTGTCTGTCCTTCTCAATGGATTCCTTTCCCTCGTCTTCTTTAAAGAAAAACTTTTCTCAATCCTATTTTCCATATGTCTCAGAACTTGGGGTTTTAATGTGATCACAGCTGCCTTTTGCAATACGTAGGTATTGTGGATGTGTGTGGGGGGGTGGGGGTGGGGAAAGGAAGTAAATGGCACGAGGAAGTTTAAAACGTACTTTTTGCCTTCCAGAAGATTATATCCTCTGTGGAGAGCAACACCTGGGGCCTCAAACTTCAGCGAGCATCAGAATCTCCTGGGGCCCCGGTTGAACGCAGTTTGCTGGACCACACCCTCAGTTTCTCGCTCAGTAGATGGGGGCTGGGGCCCGAGAGGGTGTGTTTCTAACATTTCCCAGGCGATGCTCATGCTGCTGGCCGGGGACCACAGTTTGAAGAACATTGCCTTAAAGCATCTACCCTCCTGTTCCTTCCTATGCATGTCTTTTGTCATAGTGATGCTGACGTCCCCATACCCTGATGAAAAAGTGACCTTGTTTGGGCCTTTATTGGCTCTACCTCCATGGGGTCCTGGCCTGAAGGCTGAGGTCATCTCTCAACTGTCTGACCCTCAGGAAATCCGACCCTGTGAGGGGAAGATGCTTGTTGACCTAAAGGGTCTAAACGTCCAGGAGAAGATGCTCCTGGTGTGGATGCCATGATAGTGCATGTGACGGGAGGACGTCAAAGGTTCTCCAGAATCCCTCAGGGACGGCGAAGGGCTTCAGGGCCTGGGCACGGACAGCTAGCTCCTGGCCGGGAGCGAGAGCAGCCAGTTTTAGCACGCTAGCAGTGCTGATCTTGTCTCCCACTGCACCCCCAACCCAGTCAGCCCTTACAATCTTTCCGAGGGGTTCTCGGCTCCTCTAAACGGTGCTGTGGGGCAACAAGAGGATTTTTATTTTGTATTGTTCTTTTCACTTCAGTCTTCTCCAGGGAAGGGGTACACTCCTGAGGCCACCAGGGATGTGGCCGCAGGAACTGTTGAGAGATCTCAGTGAAACGCTGAATCTGAAAGGAGCTGGGACTTGGTTCACCCACTCCTGCCTCCCACCAGGGGGTTCTCCACTCAGTGCCAACTTTGGAGAAGCTGGGAAAAAATTATATATATCTCTGAAGGGGTAATTTTCTTTCTAAGAAAGCAAATATAAAAAGATAATTAATAGGTTAAGTGTCTTTGCTACCCAATAGCTGCAGGGCCTTGGGTAGATTATTCCATCTCTTTGGATCTCAGAGCCTTGTAATCAGTCTGATGAGGACCAGGTGAGTGAAAACGGCTGTTGGTGGCACATTCATAAGACAGGACCAGGGGCTTGTCAGAGAAGGACAAGGGCTGGGGCCTTAAAGGCAGGTCCCATAGATTTGTTGATTGATTGAAACGGATTCTACCAGCATGGTACTCACCTTTAGGGAATTGAACTGACAAGATAATGAATGGAAACTAATTACTATAAACCCCTCAACCTTTAAACCGTATCTGTCAACCACAAATATTCCCTGAAGGCCACTCACTTCCAGGAGAGAAGCCCAGCCCCTCAGGAGGGAGGGGATGACCCTCAGTGAGGTGGGCCTCTGACGGACTGCTGGGGCCCAAGGAATTGGGGAGGGGGCTTTGTCTCTTTCCTCCCCCAGCATGGAATTCCATCACCTCTAATTGTTAGAACATAGCCAAGACCCCCACCAGTCTGGTGCCTTTTGGATACTTTTATAGCACTACTTCTGTTCCCTCTTCTCTTGTAACAACTTTATTGAAATGTAATTCATATACCATAAAATTCCATTTAGAGTGTACAAAGCAATTGTTTTTAGTATATTCATGGAATTATGCAAGCATCACCATAGTCTAATTTTAGATCATTTTTGTCATCCCCCAAAGCTGCACCCATTAGCTATCACCTGGCCTTTACTACAACCTGGCCGCTTCTAATCTACTTTCTGTGTATCTGGGCATTTCATATAAATAGAATCATAACTATGTGTGGTATCTTTTTCTAAATTGAAGAAAGGAGACCTGGTGACACCGGTACACTGGCACGAAGGCCCCTTCTCTCCACCCCATTATCTTAGCAAACAGCTTCCTCGCCGGCTTGCTGATGTACAGGATTCCCCGCGCCACCCGTGAGGGTGGAGGCGGCGGTGCTGTGCCCCCGGGAGGACACAGGGCCTCGGCGGAGACGGGGCGCGCGCGGCCT